TGGGGTAATTCGCCTCATGAGGCTTCAACTGCCTCGAGGCGTAAGCTATCACATGCCCCCTCTGCATCAGAACCACACCTAACCCTGAAATCGACGTGTCGTAGTACACCACCAAATCATCTAACCCCTCAGGTAGTACTAGAATCGGAGCCTCGCATAACCTCTGTCTCAGAGTCTCAAAAGACGTCTGCTGGTCCGCACCCCACCGAAAAGTCACGTTTTTCTTGGTCAAGCGGGTCAATGACACAACAATCATGGAGAAATCCTGGATAAATCTCCGATCGTAGCCCGCTAAGCCTAAGAAGCTACGAATCTCTGATGCATTCCTTGGTACTTCCCACCGCATCACAGCCTCAACCTTGGCTGGATCAACCGAAATACCCTTCTGATTGATGACATGCCCCAAAAATTGTACTTCCCGCAGCCATAAATCACACTTGGAGAACTTCGCATAAAGTTTCTCCGCCCTCAGGGTCTCTAATACCTCCCTCAGATGTTGCTCATGCTGCTCCCTGGTCTTAGAATAGACCAGGATATCATCAATAAAAACGATCACCGACCGATCCATCATCGGTCTACACACCCTGTTCATAAGATCCATGAACGCTGCTGGGGCATTGGTGAGCCCAAACGACATCACCACGAACTCATAATGCCCATACCGAATCCTGAAAGCTGTCTTCGTTATATCCTCACCCCGAATCCTCATCTGATGGTATCCCGACCGAAGATCAATCTTGGAAAACCATGACGTACCCTGCAGCTGATCGAACAAATCATCGATCCTTGGCAATGGATAACGGTTCTTCACTGTTAGTTTGTTCAGCTCCCTATAATCGATGCACATCCTGTGCGATCCATCCTTCTTTTTCAAAAAAAGAATCGGTGCTCCCCACGGGGAACTGCTCGGACGAATGAACCCTCGGTCTAGCAGCTCCTGAAGCTGCGTAGATAGCTCCTGCATCTCCGGTGGTGCCAACCGGTAGGGTGCCTTTGCTATCGGAGCGGCACCTGGCACCAAGTCAATGCGAAACTCCACCTGCCTCTCCGGAGGCACTCCAGGTAACTCTTCGGGGAAAACGTCCCGAAAATCCTGTACCACCGGCACACTGCCCAGAAATCCCATGCAACCCTGCTGTAAAAACCTCCTAGCCCTCGCTGCCGAACAGAGGGCCGGTCCCTGCAAGGCCCTCTCACCCTGAATAACCAGTTCTCCCCCACTTGGGGTTCGAACCCTGACCAACTGGCGTTCGCAATCAATCATGGCCCCGTTGGCCTGTTAGGTGCATTTCATGTACCCATTTTGTAGCTTTATTTCATAAAAGTACATTGCATATAGGCTTAAACTCATGCATTTTGCATGTTTTTCGGGATTTTTCATGAGGCAATTTCATTCACATACTTTTGTGATATTTTAGGGACTTTTGGAGGTAGGATATTGTTGGAGGAGGTAAATAAAAGTTGCGGACAAAATTTCAGGACTTGCGGAGCACCGAGGAGCAAGATATCAAAGAAATGAAGATTTTGGCTTTACAGAGATTTACACGGCCGTGTAAATGCAAGCCTTGCGTTTACACGGGCCGTGTAAACGTAGATTTCTGCACAGTATATTTTTGCGTTTACGCGGGCCGTGTAAATGACAGTGTTAATTTACGCGGGCCGTGTAAACGTAAATGCGGGTTTTAAAGCAGTTTTTCACCATTTTTAAGGGGGGGAACCGACTTTTTACTTTTAGGGGTCGACTTTTGGGCAGAGGGAAGGCGATTTTCAGAGCTTTTTGAAGTTGATTAACACTTGGGAACATTTGATTTCATTTTGTAAGAACTTTAATTTCATTTTCTAGATTTGTGATCTTGTTCTAGTCATGAGTGGCTAGAACCCTAGATTCTCCAACTTTATGTCTTGACTTCTAGTTGTGATTTCAATCATATGACTTGATGTTTTCTTTCAATTTTCTATCTAGTGAATTTGATTTTGTTTCAATCGAATGTTTGATTCTAATTGTGATTCTTATTGGCCATTTGAATTAGGGTTAGATCATTCAAGTTATCTAATTGCAAAATCCGTAATTGTTTTGTAAATTGGACTAGGTAACAAGCACTAAACTGATTTCTATTGAATGAATTTAGTGTAAATCTTATTCACACATTCTTATGCTCCCGAGCTTATGAGGAGTATTGAGTGTTGTTGGGAACATTCACATAAAGTTTAATGCAATCTTTCAACCTAATTCTAAGAGTTTGTTTAGATTAGATTGGTAAGGTTAGGATTAATCAAAGAGCTTGTTTTGGTTAATTATTGTGGTGAATGGGAAGTGTTAGAGCTTGTTAACACTTTCAAGTACCAACTTAGATAGAATTAAACAAATATCTTGTCATCCATGGAATCACATTGCTAATTTGTCTTGCATAGAGTTAGAGTACTTACAAATCTTGAACTTATTTCACTTAATTAATCATTTACTTATTGCTTTATTCTATAGTTTAAATCATTGCTTATAAATTCCCCCCATTCTGTGACCATTTTTGTACCTTACGCAAAAAGGTATAAACACTTGTCCCGTGTCTCTGTGGATCGACCCTACTTACCTTGTACTACGTTTTTAGTGCATAGTAGTAGTGTTTAAGGAGTCATTTGTACCCTTTATTTGTTGGGTTTGACACGCCTAACATGGCCCCCAACCAATCCATCTCGACAATTACTTTCAACGCTCGCAATGGTATCGGAACTAGATAAACACGGAACCTCTCGCCCAATACGTTCAGTACACTGTCCCGATATACCCTCGCAACACTAACGGTACGGTCGTCTGCAATTTCCACCTCGAGTAGGGAATCCAAGATCCCCGACGCGTCTCCGAACTTCTTGCTAAGCGCAAGTGACACAAATGATCGGGTAGCACCCGAATCAAACAGGACATGAGCAGACATACCATTGACCATATAGGTCCCTATACAAGAATATAGTACACATAAGTCATACAAATAATAAGAACAGAGAATAATAGATACATACCAGCCACGACGTCTGGTGCTGCCCGAGCCTCCTCGGTGGTCAGCTGAAATGCGCGGCTCTTCACCGCCGGAACATCCGCCTTGGCAGGGCGGCCATCGGTAATCCTCAACGTGGAGGGCGCAGGCGCCGCCACCGCTCCTCCCCCTCCTTGCAACCTCGGACAATCGACCCGCTTGTGGCCGGTCTGGTTGCAGTGGAAGCAAATCAAGCCCTTCTTGGGGCAATCCCTGATCACATGGCCTGATTGGACACAAGCATAGCATCCTGAGCCCATCCCCCGGCAAGCCCCACTGTGCGGTTTACCGCACTTGGCACACCGGCCTCGGCCCTGCTGGCCCGTGCTGGAAGTGTCTGAGGTCTTAGGCTTTTTAGCCTGACCTACCGCCGCCTGTGCCTGCTCAGGCTTCCGCTTGGTGCGGAAGTCCAACTCCATTTCCAGCTCACGGGCCTTCTCCACCATCTCATTCAGGGTTTTGCACCCTGTAAAGCTCACAAACTCACGAATATCATCCCTCAGCATGGAATGATATCTCGTCTGCCTCATATCCTCATCCGTAGCGTACTGTGGGATCAATAAAGCTCGGTCCCGAAACTTGGCGGTGATCTCCGCCACAGTCTCGGTGGTCTGCTGAAGGTCATGAAACTCCCTCACAAGTCGTTGCACCTCAATAGGTAGTGCAAACTCCGCATCAAAACGTCGAACGAACTCGGCCCACGTCATCTCAACCACACCGGCTGCTCCCACCTGGCTGGTCACCTCGCCCCACCAATCCCGGGCTCTGTCTCTCAGCATACATGAAGCAAATCCAACCTTTGCCGCATCCGGGCAAGAACTCGTGCGCTGGGCGTTCTCAATGTCCGCCACCCAGCGTCACCTGACAATGGGTTCTCTGACCCCGAGAAACTCTGGCGCCCCACAAGCCTTGAACTCCCGGAACGAGGGTGTTCGGGCCCCAATCTGGCCCGCAACAATCTCAACCCTGAATGATCTGAGTCTCTCCTCCATGATCTCCATAATGCCCTCCTTGACCGTCCCAAAAATGACTGGGGTAGCATCAAGGATGCCCTTCGTAACCTCGGCTGCAATGATATCGTGCAGTCTCTCATCAATAGGCTCAGTACCGCTGCCCGATCCAGACCCAGACCCCGATCCAGACCCTGATCCTGATCCCCTTGACCCAAAGCGTGTCACCACCATGCTGAACTATAATGTCATAAACCATAATAATCAGGTCATATATATATATATATATATATATATATATATATATATATATATATATATATATATATATATATATATATATATATATAGGGGATCTTCCCACACTGGTCCTCCTTAGAGCTGTCAGGTCTAACATGGGTTCGGGTACAGGTCCTGTGCTTTCAGTAGTACGGGCCCAATACTACATTCCACACCTACCTGTACTTTTCCCCAAAGCTCTACCTGATAACTCCAATTCGCCCCAAAATAAATCATAACCCACAAACCACTGCATAACCAAAATCCCAGGTTGTCCTAAGATTTGCTCTACCCATATTAATCAGACCAATCATAACAGGTTGCCTTTATGCATGCAAATTATACACAAAAAATGATCAAATAGACTTTCGAATAAAAGATTCTACCCTAGGACCACAACCAAACGATGAACAGGAAATAAGGCCAAATCAATCATTCTGAGGCTATAAGCTCCTAACCGTACACAAATTTAAAAGCACACATAGCAAGTCTCATACGATCATCAAGCTCAAATATCAATATAACATGGCTAACACATTGGGAACTACTTACTTGGCTCGGCCGATCGCGCGCGTTGCACTTTCTTTTTTTCATTTCTTAAAATTTTAACTTTTATTTTGAAACCAATTTATCATTTCCTTAGTTTGAGTTCTGACACACCCGAAAGTGTGTTCGAATCCCTAAAACCAAGGCTCTGATACCAACTTGTAACGACCCAAATTTTTCAAAGAAATTTTCATTTTTAGTTAATAAAACACATCTGCATAAACCATAAAATCCCAACATAAGTGTTTTCAAATCAGTATTCATTACAACTTATTAGAATTATCAGAGCGTCCCCAGAAACATAACAGTGAAAGAGAGATAGAGTGCACACCGCGCCATCAGGCCTTGCCCTTGCCCTTGGGCTCAGATGTACCTGAAACAATTCCACAAACTGTAAGCGAATGCTTAGTGAGTTCCCGAGAGCATACCACACATACAATTCAATTATCACATATCATATTAGCCCTAAGGCTACATACATCACATAAGTCCTGCATACAACCGATAAGGATGTCGTGGGATCGTCCCCGGGGTCTTACTCCAGGATGCCATGGGCTCTCCGCATGGTCTTACACCTAAGTGTCATGGGCTCTCCCATGGTCTTTGATAGGAAAGCCATGGGCTCTCCACATGGTCTTACATCCGAGTGCCATGGGCTCTCCCATGGTCTTCCATACAACATACCACATATATCAAAGCATATTTCCTAGTTCATACCAACTAACATGTCACATAACACAACCTCAGCTAAGATAATACACATCATAAAATGGGTCGGCCTTGGTGCCTTAGACCCATTGGCATGGTGAGGAGACTCACCTCAGTCTGCTGAATACAAAAGTTGTTCTCCTAACAGTCCGTAACCTCCCGCGCTGAATAATAATTTTAAACAATGTTAGGACCAATGTTTTAAAAACCGGTTTTTTAGTTGAACCGGTATGATGACCGGTTCCCGGTTCAACCGGTTCGACCGCCGGGTCAACCGGTTTCAATATTTTTTTACGTTTTTTCTATTTTCCTTCACATATATACATCTATAAATCTTGAATTTGATGTTTAAAAGTTCAAACATTAAAAATACACATAAAAATAAGTTGTAGACGAATCAAAATACATTAAAATAACACATAACCATAAGTTTTAGTATTTTACATCAATCCATATACGGCAAAAAGAAAATAAAGTATAATAACGAAACAAAATATAGGTTTAAATGAATACAAACACATCAAAAAACTTCATAACATTTATTATATGTTTTTATTTAGAGAAAACTAAATAGATTTGGAAAAAAAAATTTCAAAGTTTATTATGTAAATGATTTTTTTATGTGTTTTTATTCGGTTTAACCGGTTCAACCGGTTTATTTAGACCGGTTCAACCGGGTTTCTCTAAAAACCGGCCGGTTCAATCCGGTTCAGAAATCGACATAAAACCGGTGATAGTTGAACCGTTCCTTCCCCCGGTTCCCGGTCCAACCGGTTCGACCGACCGGTTCAAACCGGTTTTTAAAACATTGGTTAGGACTTTAATTAGTCAAAGGAAACCCAAACTCCAAACCCTTCCCTAAGGCCCAATTATCCATCCCTTGCTAATGGGCCTAAAGTCCAAGTCCAAAATCCCTAATGGGCCTCTTGGCCCAATAAGGCCCAATCAATATGTCCATGACCCATAACAGATGATATGACTCATAATTCTCAGAATACCATCATGCCCAATAATCAAATGAGGCCCAAAAGCTCAAAGGCCCAAAACGGATTCGACCCAACTGTGATGCGTACGCTTAGCGTACCATCCTGGTACGCGCATCGTACTGGGGTTCTAGGGCTTACGCGCAGCATACACTGGGTTACGCCCAGCGTACTAACAGATTAAGCACTTTTTCCATTAAGTGCTTAATACTCGATTCTTTTACGTCCATAAGTCAGATCCAACCCTATTAAGACGACCTAAGGCATAAAGTTGGCAACTTTATGCCTTTTCATGTCTCAAATGCTCCCAACACCCTCATTAAGACATTTTTAAAGCTCTTAGCCCATGCATGAGGTCAAAATACCCACCAAGACTCCATTTTTATGTTGAAAAATGACTAAGGGACCTCAAAAACTGTCATTTCCATCCTTTGGAGTTGCTTAACTCACCAATGGAGGTCCAAACTCAACCAAAAGGGACAACGTAGAAAACCCTAGCTAAATCTAGAGATTAAAGAAGAAAGATCCAAGCTTTTTACCTCCAGTAGCTTTGTAAGGTGACTAAGATGCAGGTTCTTGAAGCACCAACTCGTTCCAAGCTTGTTTATCCTCCTCTTCTTCTTGGAATGAACACTAAAAAGGCCACAATGCACTCTTTAAAGCTCAAAAATGGTCTCACAAGTTTCTCTGGAGTTTAAAGACGTTCTAAGGCTATGGAGGCTCTCTAGGGTTAAGTCCAAGGGACTTAAGGTCGCTTAAATAGGCCTCATGTCCGAAAATTAGGGTTTTGGACCCCTGGCACGTACGCCCAGCGTACGCCCAACTCCTCCGCGTCCAACCATGCATAGTACGCTAAGCGTACACCTAAGTACGCCCAACGTACTTAAAGGGCCAATTATGCTAAAATATAAATTCTTGAGGGTTCCAAGTCATACCAGATTTAGGGTGTTACATCAAGACCTTCCATGGCCTTTGATTTCCAAGTAGAAAAGTTTTGTTGATCGAATGGAGGAATCTTGTTGCAGATAGTTGATTTTGGAGTAAAAGAGGTTGACATGATTACTTGAGTGTATCACAAACCCGCTCTGATACCAATTAAAGGTTTGTATCGATTGGATACACTTCAAGTATAAAGACTAAAAGAAACTTAAACAACGAAAAGTAAAGAACAAAATTTAAAAGACACAGAGAGTTCTCCAAATTGTTTCTTTCACCAAGAAAGAGGTTTTGTCTTCACCAAGAAGACCGGGTTTGTCACAAAGACGATTGACATAAAGCCACGATCACAACATTAGGGTTTGCCTAATGTTGTATATATACTAATCTATACATGTATATCGCATGATTCAAGGGATTGCGTCTAATTTATACTAAGAACTGATATTATCACAAAGATATCAGATTTGTGATCTATTCTATACTTATATGTATCATTACCCAATCTACAAAAAATTACAATCGGATAACTGTACTATAAGCTGAGGCTGATAAGTTTTATATGTTGGCGCTGAAGATGTAGTCGACGCTGACGTTGATCTATAAGCGTGTTGTGTGTTTGACTCATCAGATCATAAGGCGTGACATTACAGTTAATACTACAATTGTTAATGCACAAGGTACAAGTATGTCAATGCGTAAAGTTTAACTTTATTCCCTAAACTTTGTATAGTTCGTTCCTTGTAATCCCCCTATTTTGTAAAATAATATTTTTCATCCATCAACTTTGTATAATTTGTCACTTGCAACCCCTCTATTTTGTAAAATGATATCTTTCATCCTTTTACTTTTTAAAATATCACTTTCACTACTTTCCTAATACATAATAAAAACACGTAAAAACTCGCGGTAAAGCGCGAACTCAATTACTAGTTTACCTCTAAAGTCTAAGTTATTCCTTATCAAGGCGGAGGTAAGAATACATAATTTAGACCCCTCCATTTTTACATATGCATGATACAACCCACTCATATTTCTTTGAAGTAACATCACATATCCATAAAGTGGCAGTATGCTTCAATATTTTTTTTTCCTGTCATTGTATTTTGTTACAAATTTTTAATATATATTAATCTTCTTGTTAATTACCATGTGACATAATTTATAGCATTTTATCATATATTCAACCTAGGTCGGGTGCTACAATCAATAGTGTCAAACAATGTCAATTCTATTGGACTCGGTTTTAATTCCAAAATAAACTAAAATAGTCATGTTTTTATTCAGCATATAAAATGTAATATGACGAGTTTGAGATACGAGTAAATTAAACTAATGTACAATAAAGAATATGTTAACTAATATTAACTAGTCAATGATTAAATAGGCATCAAAAGGTTGAAGTGCACACAACTAAAACACAAGTTAAGTTATATATTTGTGACAAAACCTTCATATTACAATTTACAACCCCTAAACATTACATGTTCCACTTTTATGGCATGAAATAAAACAAAGACTTCGGAATGATTTTCTCTATATATAGTATATACGTGTGTATATATACACTTCCAATTCCAATCTATGAAAATTGTCCCCAATATTTGCAGCAGATAAAAATTAAGAAGCATGACATATTAAGCTAATGCACATATACTATCAAACAAGAACCTGTACACTTTGTGATGAAGCAGACAGCGATTCCCTATTGTGAGTTTGTGAGAGGGAGTGATTGTCAGAATTAGAGGGCATGATGGGTCTAATGTTTCCTGGATTCAATGGGAACAAGAACTTATAGTAACCATCCATCATTGCTTCCAGATTGCACGTCTCTGCAACACCAGAAATCTGTCCCAAAAAAAATGGTAAACAAGGGCAAATTCGTAATTGACTCACACTTAAGAAAGAAATTGGAAGGGAAAAATCTGTATGAAAAATGATCAAGTAGTATATACATATACAAGCTAAAATTGAAGTGAAGAAGAATGAAAGTAGTATACTCGTGGACTACCTGATAGATATCTTGCATGTAACCATGGAGACTCGGATATTCAACCACCTTCTTCTTTGTACATTTGAACATGACATTGTACACAAGATCAAATCGTATCAAAGTAGTAAACAAGCATACATCTGCTAGTGTAAGATTATCCCCACATAAGTATCGTGAACCTTTTAGATGATCATCTACAGTGTTTAAAGCATTAAATAACTCGTTAACAGCAGTGTCATATGCTTCTTGACTTTGTGCAAACCCGCATCTGCAATTAATTTACATTATCATACATACATAAATCCAAGGTTTTAGCAAAAAAACACCGTAAAGGCCATATATATATATATATATATATATATATATATATATATATATAATATGTATCACAATTTCATCACTACATCGAAGGCTTTTTTGTAAATATATTTATAAGATAGCTTGGTATCCAAACTGTATCAATGATTGTGATCCTCATTGTGTAGTGTACATAACTCGTGTTATATATATATATATATATATATACACTCCGTAACAAGAAATGCAATTAAATTATAACAACTTAATCCTTGTTGATATTGTATCTCTAATTATGATCTCTCTACATCAGGGTGTTTAGCAGTTCATTTGAATCAATTATTGAGACTTCAATTTAGAGTTTTTGGCAACAATTGATTATATTGTGATTATGATTTTCAGATGTTATTTATCGTCAAAATAATCAGATTTGGAGAAATAGTTGCTGTAAGACAATTTATCATTAAGATACATGATAAAGTACCTAATTATCCTAACTTTAGCACCTCATCATCCAATTACTTATTTCTCTAATTCAGATAATTCAAGTTGCAATAATCGTTTCGAAATAATCCCTCTTTGTTGTAAGTTCAATATCAACTCGTATATGATTGTTAAAAGCCAAATCCAAATCCAAACAACTCTTACAGTCCGAATATTAAGGTAATTTTCATCTTCTTGAATAATAGCAAAATCATTATCATCATGATCAAAACTTTCTAAACTAATTAGTGTGAACACCATATGAAAGTTAAATCTGATAATAGTCGTATTAAGGTTTACCTGTAAACGCCATTGTTGATACTTGGATATATGATCTTGTTCCATTCATCAATCTGTTTCTTGAGCTCCGGCGGTGACAGGTCCAAATCTGGATTCCGAGCTACCTCGTTTAAACCCGAATTCAACAATTCAATTATGTCATAGCTCTCATTACAAACAACCTCTTTCTTCTCAACATCCCAAAGCATGGGAACGGTGCACCGGCCGTCGTACCCTCCTCGCCGCATTTTGTAAACTTCTCTGACAGTTTTAGCGCCGTTAACCTTATCCTGAGTGGGGATAAGCTTATCCCCATTTGGGATAGGACTATCGTTGAACACCCATGAACCATCTAACCCTGGAGAAGCAATTGAGACGGGTATCGCATCTTGAAGACCCTTCAAAGCTCGAACGATGAGTGTCCGGTGAGCCCAGGGGCATGGTAGGGCGGCGTAGAGGTGGAGGGCATTGGGCTGAAGTTGGTGGTGGTTGGGGTTTCTAAATTGGGAAACAGGTCGGGTGTATGATCCTGATGGGTCGGAGGGAGCGAGTTGGGACATCATAAGGTGCCAGGCGGTGGACCAGGCGGAGCGAACGGTGGAGATGAGGAGTTGTGGTGGGAGGGATTTGCCCCAGAGGAGTTTGGTGATGGAGGTGATAAGTTGAGTGGGGCTTGGAGTTGGAGGGGAGTTGTTGATGGACATTTTGGGTGTTGATTGACGGAGTTTTCTGGGTTTGAAATTCCGTGGTGGAACTGTGGTGGTGATGGTGGTGGATCGGAATATGATGGGAGGAGAGGTGAGGAGTGATGTTGCAGTAGACATTTTAAACGAAAATATCAAACATGAGACTTGTGTTGTGATATATATCCTTTTGTTAACTTATACGTTATATTTTGTGGAAATCTCCGTAAAAGTCTTAAAATTTTATATTAATTTACAAAAAAGTCACAAACTAAATTTTGTTTACGAAAAAGCATGAATTACCGGTAAAAATGACGATCTGATCCTTTTTTCGGGTTTACCGGTTTTATTACTTACCTGTTTCACTAAAGTCCTATTATTTTACCCTAATTTGCGAATAAGTCCCAAAATAAAATTTACTGATGATTTGACCATTTTCTCTATGTAACATACATTTACCGGTTTCATTGCTCACCCGGACGCCTAGTCATTAAATGAGATGATGAGATGGATTTGTTGAGTTATATAATGTTATATTTAGCATATAAAACTTGATATCCTTATGTATTGTATATATCTTTTTGGAACATAAAATGCATCCAACGAAGACTACAATAATTACATAAATTAACAACAACTGCGTTATTTTTTATGTTTTAAGGAATATCAAATTGTCTATCTAATCTTATGTAACCCAATATGTCCATCTCATCAGACATCAACTCATTTTCTACCCTTTTTTCTTGGAAACACACATTTTATTGGTTTCATTGCTGACGTAGATACATAGTCATAAATGAGCCAATGAGATGGGTATCAAATTTTACAGTAAATGTGACATTATATAACCCATCGTATTCATCTTATCAGCTAATTTAATGACTAGGTGTCTAAGTCAGCAATGAAACCGATAAAATGTATGTTACATGAAGAAAAGGGCCAAATCATCAATAAATTTTATTTTGGGACTTATTCGCAAATTAGGGTAAAATAATGGGACTTTAGTGAAACATGTAAGTAATAAAACCGGTAAACCGGAAAAATAGGTCAAATCGCCATTTTTACCGGTAATTCATGCTTTTTCGTAAACAAATTTTAGTTTGGGACTTTTTCGTAAATTAGGGTAAAATTTTAGGACTTTTCTGGAGATTTCCCTATATTTTGCTAGTGTAACTACAACCTTTTTATTAGGGTTTACCTTCTTTTTTTTCCTTTTTTTTTAACCTGAATAAATGAAAAAAAAAATGTTCGAGGGTGTCTTACAACTTTTGTCTTAAATAAAAAAAAATGGTCTCTCTTCGGTTGTCTCATCTAGACTTGCACAAAAAAAACATTTTGGAAACCGAACCGCCTCATAAACCGAAACTGGTTCATAGTGAGAATCGGCTTGCATAACTGGGTTGTCTTTTATATCGTTGGAACTGGTTTCAAATCGGTAGTGGTTTGAGGTTGTTAGAGGTTCATTTTTTGGTCTTTTTTGTCCATATATAACTATCCATTGATATTTAATCAAACTATTGAATGTTTATACTTAATCAAACCATTAAAAAACTCTCTTAGATCAAAAAATCGCTCTCAAGTCAAGCAGTGGATTCAGTTTCCATTGGTGTTGGAGATTCATAAGCAATATTATCGTTGTTGTCATCAAAGAAACAAATGAAAACCCGAAGATTTGGTGCAACTATGATTTGTATGTAATGTCAAGCGGTTCAAATAAAGCACGATGGAAGAAATGTGGTATTTTTTCTTTTCAAAAAAAGAAGGGAATTCAACAATGAAAACTCATATGAACAAGAGATGCCTACCGATGAAATCTGGGCTGGTGCATAATCAAACAACAATGGCGAAAGATACTACATTGTGAATTATGAAGAGGCTAAAGTTCAGGATAGGATAACGATTACGAAGACGATGATGTTTTATGTTTTTATGTTTAAAGATGTATTAGTTTAATGTTTTATGTATTTCCATATCACAAAACAAAAAAAAAATGAAAATTGTTAGAGCCTCACTTCAACCTTTTCAATTCAATACACAAACATCATATATATGCATACATACTCATGTTAAGTTTTTGTTTAGAAAATATCGAATTTTTAAGAAAATAACTAATCTTACGGTTAGTATATGCACATATTAGTCATATAAGCTCAAAAAACAAAACCAAATTTTTTTTTTCGGTTTCGTCCAAACCAATAAGGGATGGACCGAACCGGTTTATATAAGATCAGATTTTTTCAGTGACGAACCGGTTCGAAAAAAACCGGTTTGTGCACCTCCACACACACACAACTGAATGAGTTGATGCATATATGTTGGGACTTTAAACCCCGTAACCGCCTTCCCTTCTCTCAAATCCGAGTTCAACTCGAACGAATGCTCCGGGAAATTCAGGTAAACCTACCTACTACTTTCAAAATTTTCCCTTGATGAATTTTGGTTGGAAAATGAAGTAAACTTCCAACATCACATTAGAAATTTCATACAACACAATATTCATGTGGTTGTGTTGTGTTTATTACGCGTGTCTGTACAAGCTTTCTAGGGTGATTTTATTGATGATGAGGGCATTTACGTCTTTTGTGCAATGCAAGTCTCTGTCCTGCATTTTCTCATATATATTTGTGTAATTACTAGTTGTTTCTTGATTCACAAGACGAAGCCAAAACACCAAATGGCATTGGCAGGTAGACATTTGAGTGATTGGGTACTAATTTGTATAAGTGGTCAAACATTAAAAAAAGAAAAGAAGAAGAAGAAGAAGAAGAAGAAGTTAGAGTAACCTAGATGGAACAATTGTTACACTTGGTTACTGTTTTTTTGACATTGACCCACTTAATGAATAGGATATAGCAAAGAAGATAGGATAATATAAGAATAAAAACAAATGATATAAGGGAATGGGATGATAATGCCTAACAATAAGTGGTAGTAATAAAAATGACCCAAGGAATAAACATGCTAGCTAAGAACCATTACATGCATGTGACCATATACGAATTCCCTGACAGAAAATAAGACAGATAAAACCATTGTACAATATATGCTTGGGCATGTTTGTAGCCATGGTATGAGTGGCAACCACACACTAATTGGGTAGTTATTTAGTTATTTAAACACAAAAAGAGGTTGTTTTATTAACTAAATGACTTATTGAGACATAGAGGACATAAATGTCATATCTTTTGTTGTTAACAGTAAACTTGAGACATCAATTGAGGGGTTGGAAATGCTTTGTAACGCCCGCAAATTCGGGTCAGTCAATTTAGAGATAATAAGTGTTAAAATTGACTTTTTGATAGAAAATTATTTAGGATAAATAATCCTGACCAAGTTATAGTATTTGCGACATAGATTTCATACATTTAAAGAACACTAAAATCCGACTTCATATGAAGAAGTTATGCTTCTTCGAAGTTTCACAATTAAACCGACACGGCTCTGCGTATCGTAAAAAGTGAATTTTAGATAGATTACTTTTTAGCTTAAGTGATCTAAAAGAAAGTCGTAGTAGTCGTTAAACCGATAGCGTGCATATAGAGAATGTCCAAATCTACTTCGTAAGAGGAAGTTATGATTTTTCGAAGTTTCAACGCAGCAGTATACGACTCAAAAATTGAAGTATAGATCGGTTGATTGTTATGAAAAACAATCTAAACAAGAGTTGAAGATCTCGTTGTAACAACCCGTTATTTCAACTCAATATAATAGTGGTTGTGACAAGGATTCCGAAGATATAAAGAATACCGAAATCTGAGTTATAACGAAGAAGTTATGACCTATCGAAGTTTCGCGACAGAACCGGCACGACACTGTGTGTCATAAAAAGTGAGTTTACAATAAAACGCTTTTTAGAATTAACAATCAAAATTAAATTCGTAGATTACGTTAAACCGAGAGTTTATATCAAAAGAACGTCCAAATCTGACTTCGTATGAGGAAGTTATGATTTTTCTAAGATTCGGCACAGCAGTATACAACCTGAAACTCGAATTAAAGATCGAGCGATTTTTAGCCGACACAATCTAAACGAGAATCAAAGATCTCGTTATTTGTAGTTCAACGGTAAAAAGACAGACGAAAACAGATGAAGAAATTATGAATTTTTAACAGACTTTTCCTGTCCCGGCCTGTTAAAAATATAACATTAAAAATAAAGTCAAAATTAGCCAACGGAGTCTAAACGAAAGTTGTAGAGCATGGTCTCACCTACGCGTGGATATAAAGAACGTCAAAAAACGGAGGTCGTAGGCGAAAGTTATGAATTTCTGAAGTTTGAAAAATCATTCTCGAAGGAGTATGCCCCGCGTAATGGTGTACGCCCAGCGTACTCGAAGGCTCGGCCTCGAATTGACCACGTCGACCCTCCGTCACCCCTCCCTCGCATGCGTTCCATGCAACGTAGTAGCTCCGACGCGTAATCAGTAGGCTGGACACGTACGCTACGCCCAGCGTACGCACGTACGCCCAACGTACTCTGAGGCTTCATCCTCCTATAAATAGGAACCGAGAGCTCCGAGTTTAGGTTGCAAATTCACAACCTCTCTCCTACTTTTACACACTTTTAAGCCCTCCTAGCTACCCCGACGCCCGGTGATATATCCAAGCTCTGACGAAAGCCTGAAGCCCCAAAGTCCTCGAGAAAATAATATTTTCCTGTCGAAACTGTAACATCCGGATTCCCAGGTATTTTATTTTAAGTATTTACCTTGAGTTTTAGGGAGGGACTCGGCGAGTAGGCGCTCAGACTCGCCGAGTAGGATCGCGAATTTCTTGCCTAGATTAATGAGGGACTCGACGAGTCGATGCGTGGACTCAGCGAGTCCGCGCTGTAAAGTGAAACCCTAAATCTCAGGGCCTGAGCCCTATTTAAAGGCCTTTATGGCCTCCATTTGCGGCTACCGGTCCAGAGAGAGATACCCTAGTGATTGTGAGCGAGTTGTGAGAGAGTTTGAGCCTTTTTGATCATTTTTGGTGTGATTTTGCAAAGGAGAAAGTGTTTCCAGCAAGGGGAGGTCAAGAGGATTTCATTCAGTGGGTTTTCGGCTTGGATCTTCAAGTTTGAGGTAGCTATTTGATCCTATCCTTCTGTTTTGCTTAAGGGCATTGAATTTAGGGCTTTCGATACCCTTTTATGGCTTGTTTAGTTGTGTATAGTGTCCCATTGAGTGC